GTCGAGTGTTGTGGTGTTATCATTCATTTCAAATCGATACTATGAACATCGTGTATATCAGCTAATTGACCAAACGAGAAATAAAAATTTTTTCTTTTTTCTAAAAGAAACGCGAATGGGGAAGAGTAAAGTAAATAAATTAAGTTGGACAATTAACTTTCAATTCATAATTTTACCGTTGGATGCAAAAAGGGTCTCACTCACGATCCCAGTTTATTTCTTATTGTTTGATAAATGTAACTCAATTTTATAAGATATAATGAAATTTATCAAGGATATTTGTGTTCTTCTTGCATCCGGTAGTATAATTAATGAAAAATAAAAAAAAAAAAAAAGGAGAAGAAAAAAGAAAAGGGGATGAAAAAATTTAGAATTTTTAAAAACCGCAGATAATTGGGATCTGCGTTTCAGCCGGATTGTGAGCTTACCGTATCGCGTTTTTGTACATACATGGTTCAATACCTTCAGGTCGGCATCATAGGGCAAAGTTTTGTCCCATAGATTTGGGCCGAGGAAGGCGGCCTGCGCTTCCACGTTGCCCCATAATTCTCCATCAGCGTCCTTTTTCTCTTCCGGTCCATCTTTGCCTTGTTTTCCTGAGAATTTTCGTTGTTTCGTTATTTACAGTATTAAATTATTTTATATATGTATAAATTTAGCGTTTAGATCTCGTACAATTTGTAACTTCTTGTGCGCGACAATTTTCATCTCTCGAAAGATTGTATCCGTAAAAGATAGAGAGGATAGTTTAAAAATATTTACTAATAAGAACTAAATTTTTTTTTTTTAATTATTCAAACGTTGAAAAACCGCATATAGATAAATATTAATTTTACAAGAATCGACAAGATATTATGCTTGTATAAAAATGTAATAATTTAATAATAATTAAATATTAAAAAAAAAAAAAAGGCAATAAAGTAGAAGTAATTAACGACCACGTGGCGCTAGTGTCGCGTCATAAGCCATTACAATATACTCACATTTATATATTATTATTATTATAAATCACGACGCAAAAATATTTATTATCTTGCTCGAGAAACTTTCCGATACAATGTAAAGATTGACGAAAAAGAAAAGAGGGATTCAACGATTCAAGAAGACCAAAATTCGCGTTTAAAAAAATATCATACATTTCCAAAATGCAATTACTACCTATTGCTTTGTTAACATACAAAGTCTATGTTTCGACTTAAAAAAGAAAAAAAAAAGATTCTCTTTTCTTTTCATTCATTTAAGCTTTTTTTTACCTTCGTTTTTTTTTTCAACTATGATAGAAGAGAAACCTTTTAGAATACGCGAGATGACACGTTTCCCCCCGTCTCTCCTTTACACCTTTTTTTCCATACATACACAGTGTCGGAAGCCGTGGCCATCAAAAATTACTTCGTGGAAGAAAAGAAAAAGAGGAGCGGATCAGTTGGCGACCTTGGAGATGCTCCTCCAAAAATAGCGAGCCGACCTAACAACTTCTCTCTGTTTCTTCTTCTTCTTCTTCTTCTCGTTTCGAGGCGTTTCTTCCGCGTTTTTTTCTCCTTCTCCAAAGACCGGCAGGCTTAATTGTTCCTCGAGTCATGCCATATCTTCGTTTCGTTTCGTTATACGCGTAAAAAAAAAAAAAAGAAAAAAAAAAATTTGCGAATTTATCACGAGGCAAAAATAAAAAGTGTATTAATTCACCGTGCACCGCTGTCTATTATCGAATATTGCGAATGTTTATGCAAATTTAAATTTTTACGAAGAAAATTTTTATAAATGAAAAAAAGTGAGGTTAGGATTTCGTAACCTCGAAAAGATTAGGAAAAAAAAAAAAAAAAATTACATCTTCCACCTCACGCAAATAAAACTGAAATGCAGAACGTTATTTTTATATTTTTCTTCTCTCTCTATCTATTTATCTATCTATCTATCTATCTATCTATCTATCTATCTATCTATCTATCTATCTATCTATCTATCTATCTATCTATCTATCTATCTATCTATCTATCTATCTATCTATCTATCTATCTATCTATCTATCTATCTATCTATCTATCTATCTCTATCTCTCTCTTTTTTTTCCAATGACTGAACGTGCGGTTCAAACGCGACGAAACCGCATTCAATGGTTATTATTATGGTACACCGCCTATTGGCGAGGTCGTACCTCTACCACAATCTGATAGATTTCAACGAACGAAGATTTTTAATATTCATACTACGTTTCCTCCCGGGTTACGATTGATCTTTGAATTATTGCTTGTGATTATCGCCGGCTACGATTCCAACAACTGTGGATTATCTGGCGTTTATCTCTAAAGAGTAATCAAGTAAATTCAACGAATTTATAGAAGATGTTTATAGAAGATAGAAAGAGAAAGGAAAGAATTTGCCTCGTCAGAGTTGTTGCAACTAACAATAACGCTGTTTAATCCTTGATTCCTTTATAATCCTGCCCCTAAAATTCTCTTGGAAGATAAAAATTTTTTAAAAGATAAATTATTAGAAATCCTTAACTCGAGATTTTTCTCAAATCTAAATTCGATTAAATTTTATTTTGAAATTGAACAATTTTTCATTACATACATAGAGAAAGAAAACTACGATTAAGATTAAAAATAATCTAAAAAATTAATTCATTCGCTTCCAGTAACGATAAATATAAAATTCGTGCTCCAAAGTGATATAATCATCGTAAGACTTGGTCGAATGACCAATGTATTTTGAATGAAAAAAGAAAAAAAAAAAAATTCCACTGAAAATACGGTTGAAAACGGTTTGGAAACGCCTAATAACTATACGGAGCGCGGTTTCTCCGTGCACGCTAGCTAAACAACTAAACAACGACAGCTTGCAATTTGGTTCAAGGCTGTCGATCGTCGCCAACTCTGCGGAACTAATCTCGCGTTGCGTGGCGTGGCGTGGCTAGAACACGAGCAACAGCCGATTAAACGAGAAGAAGAAAGGGAGAAGAAATCGTGTCGTTCACGAAGGTGAAGAGGAGCAATCAAAGGTGAAAAGAAATCAAGTGTGGAGAGAGAAAACGGATGATGGATGGTGTTTATATGGTGATGGATAATGAAGATTATTGGAAGGAAATTTTAATCGATGATCTAAAGATTTAAAGATTTAAAAATTTAAGGATCCAGAAATTCAGAGATCCAAAAGATTCGAATATGTAAAGATCCAAAGATTTAAGGATCTAGAAATCAAAGATTCAATAATCCAATAATTCAATGATTTAAAGATCTAATAATCTAAAATAATCTAAACGTTTTATAAAATCTCAATCATAAACTGCCAATGGAAACACAATATCCCTATCATCATCTATCTTGTAGCAACATGATAAATATCAATGTTAATTTAAATTGATCAATCAACCAACAATCGACCAATTTTTAATAACAATACCATCAACCAAACATCAAAGTTAATAAAAAAAATATATATATATATCAAACCTAAATTCAAATACCAAAGTTTTAAATTCCTAAATTCGCCCCCTCCCCCCAAAAAAAAAAAAAAAGAACTTAAACTTTCAAAAGAATGGAGCGCGAACGCGGTTGTCGAACAGAATTGACCGAGTTTCCTGTTCGGGGCAGCCGCGTAACGAAAGCGGAAGTACGGTAAAGGGCAATTGTCGCGGAGGAGGCCGAGAAAGAAGCTGGATCAGAATCTGGTCGGAGAGAGAGACGATTTCCGTTAACGGTAGAACCAGTTCTCCGCTCTGCTCCTTCGTTATACCGAGAGCGTGCCTCTAATTACTATGTTCCCCTGTCTTTATCTCCTCTCCTCTCCTCTCCTCTCCTTTCCTCTCCTCTCTTCTTCTCTCCTCTCGCAGTTCTCCGTCATCCCGATTCCCCTACAAGATATTCCTTTACGTAATCGACAACATGCGAGCGTTTTACCTGACTCAAGTATGGAATGACTCATGTGCACGTCCTGGGAGGGAAAAAAAAGAAGAAAAAAAGGAAAGATCGAAACGATCGTTTCTTCGCGACAATAAAGGTATCGAAAACGCGACGTCGTGTTCGATGTAGAAATTTTTAATTTTACTCTTCTCTTCGCTCGATTTATATTAAAGAATTGTGACGACGAATGAAGACCAAAAACTTGATAAAATTGGTTATTTAGAGTTTCGAGTTTTGTTTCTCTATGCACGATCAAATAGCGACGTATCTTGAAACATTTTGATTGATGGATAAAACAAGTGAAAAAATTAAATGAAAGTAGATTTACTTGATCTCCTTCCTTTTCTCAAAATCTAATAATTTTACATTTTGCTGTTTGCAAAATCTACGAGTTTCTTAGATTCGAAATACGCGTGCACGAATTTCAAATTCCTCCCCTCTCCCCTCTCCCTCGTTGCTTCGATTTTTTTCTTTTTTTTTTTTCAAAGTGGAGAAAAAAATTTGCCTAAAAAAAAAAAAACCTCCGATTTTGTACCTTAGTTTTAAACACGCAATAACGATCAGAAGAGATTTGCGTGAAATCGCGAGCACCGTTTCTAATTGTAATTGCAGCGGCACGCGGTGAAATTAATTTGACAGGTAATAATTCACGAAACCGAATAAAATATCCATTAAGTCTCACGCAGTTGCGTTCGGGTACGCGCGAGCGATTGTCCATCCACGGAAAAGGAGGCGAGATCCGAGATAAAACCCGGTGAAAGGGAATTGAAAATAGTTTTATTAACGAGCAACGATGATTTCCGCTTTTTTAAACCTTATCTTCGTTACATATCAATTATACTCCACGGTTTCTTGTTATAACTTAATTGGATTCACGGCGTAAGGCGTTACACTTTCATAATCTTGATACGTTGATTCAATTTGCCGTGTCATTTGGGGGATCCGCTTCTATTGAATTATTCTATAGAATTTATAATTTTACTTATAATTTTTGAATAAGATCTGTTAAGAAGAAATTGGAATTCGACATCGGATGAATTAAAATAATTTTTAACAAATAATTTTCAACAACAAAAAAAAAAAAAAAGACTTAAAGAAGATGGAAAAGATGGAAATATCGAGCGAGAGTGCGAAATGCAAATAAGGGGAAATGGACGGTATGTTGTCAGACTCGCGACACCCTTCTCTTTCAACGATTCTTTCAACGAAAGATAGAAGATTTTTAATAGATAATAATTTAATTTCACACAGAAATCGATAACAATTTTATTTGAAATTAAAAAAGTCCTCTTTTTTTGAAGGAAAAAAATTCCAAACTATTTATAGATATATTTAAAAAGAATATTTATAAAATATCGAGGAACAATATCATTTATCTGGCAAAAAGGAAAAGGAAAAAGATAGATATTTAAAATAATATGAAGTGATAATAATTGACAACAAGGAAGGCGTGCCACTATTGGCAAACGGATAAACAATCGCATTTGTTTGGAGATAGTTTCCTGTGGCCTTGGTACATTGATACTCGGCTATTTCGGACGATAGATCGAATACGAAGTGAAACTGAAATCCGTGATCAAGGTCTAGCTCGTGATCAAGTTTATAAATTCAACCCCGAGTCGGCTATGAATCAACTCGAATACTAGTTTCGATTCTACCTTCTTACATCAATATGCCGTTACTTTATTACGTGCTAA